AGGCAATCTAATTTCAATTGTCATTTGCACTATGCCATTTGAATTTGTTGAACATCATTGTTATTGCAAAGCACATACAATATTCTTCACATAAACACGATCATATTTATCATATCCCATATCTTCTATATATTCGCAGATAACAGTTCATCATATCCTCATAAAAAATAAAATATAAAGCAACTTTAATACCATATCGTAGGGAACATAGCATTGCAATCAATATCTTATAGCCTCAACAAATACCCTAAAAGAATCAAATCGCAGGGAACAAAACATTGCATCAATATCATCTAGCCTCAACAAATACCCTAAAAGAATCAGTAACTTTGAATAGCATGGAGACCATATGAACAAAAAATGAAAAAAAAAAATTTGGTTGATACGAATATACACTGTTCGAAGAAAGGTTGAGATGGGGAATGGAGAAGAGAACTGTCTGGATGCTTCAAACATATCACAAAAACAGTGGATCTATATTTTTACCAGTGCTACTTGCATATTCAGAATAGATCTAGGTTTTAGCCACCTAAACACTTTCAAACAGATGGATTGAGTGAAATTACTTGCCAAAATCTTAGATCTCTCGACGAAATGGAAAAAAGAAGGGAGGAGCCGAGCGAGGAAAGAGTTTTGTTACCTGCGGAGCGACGGAGGCGAGATCGACGCCAAATGTTCGAAGGAAGGTCGGCTGCGGGCTTAGGAGAGTAGATGGCTTAGGAGGGTAGATGAGGAAAAAATGGAGCCCAAACGCGGATCGCGGGGATATACCCGCGATCCGGGTGTAATATAACTTAAAAAAACTGTTTCCAAAAACACCTATAAAGCACAATATCCAAACACTAGGGCGACATTTTTAAAAATGCCGCCGCACATTTAAACTGCCCCAAACGGGCCCTAAATTATCATTTCTTCATTAATATTTTGAACAGACAAGTACACATTTGGAACATTTTCTTAACAGATGGAGGGATAAATAATGAAAAATGTCTATTACAATCTAAAGATCGGATAACCACCCACTTTTCACATTGTTGTTCGCGCTCTGTTAGTCCCTTCCCTTGAATTGGATTCATGAGAAGAACATTGTGTCGCTTTCTCCCACCTTTTGCAGGCCTCCATGTGCCACTAAGCTAGCATGTCCTGTTGTCGCTCTATGCGATTGAGCCAGCTCACAATGGAATCAATGAATTCTACAAGGGAGTTCATGTTTTGGCCGAGTTCATAGATGTCCTCTCGTAGCATATGAAGATGTTGAGAAAGAGGGATGCAATGAGATGTTGCAGTGCGAGCGAGCAAGATATTTTCACCTAGAATTCTTTAGGCTTTGATAATTTTCCGTATGAAAGAATCATCAGAAGCAATGGCTTCATCACACAAATCGTTATCCAGAGGATGGATTGAGCCTTATTACCCAAGCACGTCGACATATAAACATTTTAAAGTGGCGAAACTATCAAGAATAAATAAATGTTGCAGAGCCTCCTCTTCAGAGAGATTCGAGTGTATGGAAAATATGCGACGCCATCCTTATTTATAGTTGTTTGGGCATCGTGATGCCGAGCACTGCACCACGACGTTAAACCCTAAATAATAAATTCTTCCATTCCGAACGATTACCATTAATAATTTTGACGGGGAGCTGCGGCATCTGGATTAGCACTAGAGCACCTGACCTTCAAGTTTTTGGGGGTGTCAACAAATGCCTTAAATTTCTTGATGAAGCGTCACAACACCAGACACTTTTGAGGGCCGCAACACCATTATGATGCTGGCATGTCCTAGTGGACTCGTCCCATCACATGCAGGTCCGTGATACATATTTTTGACTTTTTTATGTGTAACTAGTTGGTTGTAGGACATTAATTAATGTTATTTTTGAGGCATTTTATGGTTTTAGGTGGTAGGCGTGCAAAAATATAAATTTAGGTGTTAGATATGTAAATGTAAAAGAACTCATGGGTATGATGGGTATGTATGTAATATAAAATTTGATTAGGGTCGGGCTCAAGCCAAATTTACCGAATTTGATAAATCCTAAATCCGCGCAGCCAAAAATGTCGTCGGCTCCCCCTCGCTTTCCGGAGATCCGGAGAGACGTTGTTTTCAATCGCTCAGTCATCTTCTCGCCGGCGAGATCTCGCCGCCCCTCCGATTTCAAATCCCACTCCCCCAACAAATCTCCAAACCCTAACCCTAATTATAGCACTCCCTCCTGCCCCTTCTGCCGCGGCCGGGAGCATGAATGCGCCCCGGAGATCTTTCGAATTCCTCACGAAACCGATCAGTGGAAGATCCGCGTCATCGAAAACCTATACCCTGCTCTCCGCCGCGAACTCGAGCCGTCGGTCCTTGGCGAAGGCGCTGTGATCGGGTTTGGGATCCATGACGTGGTGATCGAGACGCCTTTTCACGGCGTTCATCTTCCAGATCTTTCTCAGGCGGAGGTCGGCGAGGTGGTGGTATCGTACCGGGAGCGGGTGTGCCAGTTGGCGAAGAATGGGTTATTAGAGTATGTGCAGGTGAGTATGTTCTCTTGGAGTGAGATGCTCATGGTTTTGAAGCTGCTACTCTAGCTGAAATTAGAGGGAGGGAGGAGGGAATCTATCGAGATAATGAATTGGAGGAAAAAAAAATCATGAATAGCCGTATTTATAGGAATAAAAATGCTTGCTTTAATCACAATTACTAAGGCTTAGATTCATCCATGCCTTACTTAATATGATTTTGAAACTTGTTATATATTGCATGAATAGCCGTATTTATAGGAATAAAAATGCTTGTTTTAGTCCCAATTAGCAAGGCTTGGATTCATCTATGTCTTACTTAATATGATTTTGAAACTTGTTATATATCTTTTCAGCTAAAACTAATGAAGTGAAGAGATGCAGCATTTGAATTTTTATGGAGCACAAATTCTTCAAATTGCTTTACATGTCTATGACATAATTGGACTCTTAGTGTCTCAGCTTTTACATCCCATGAAAGTTGTTGGGGGGCACTTCAATTCGAAAGCAGGGTTAGATAAGAATGAATTTAGGGACAACATTAGCGGAACACATAAGGGATACGTTTGAGGTTTTTTTTCCTTTTTTTTTTGAAGTTTACATACATACCACACAATTCTTATGTATTTACATATTTAATGGCTGAAGTTTGATATTTACACTTACAGGACACCTTGTTGTCATTAGCCTATGCATGAAAAATTGTATTTCACTTTTAAAAAGGTACTGAAGGCTGTATTTTTTATTTGATGTTAAAAATTTAAGTGATATGCATGCAAATATGAATGTATAGGTGTTAGATGTGTAAATGCATAAGAATTTTGTCTTATGTAAATATTCCCCTTTTTTAAAGGACGTTTAAATATATGCCACCCAATTCTTATGTAATTACATATCTAACAATTAAACTTTGATTTTTATATTTATTCCATGGATCTTTCATATCATATAAAAAATACCAATATTTTAACTTTTAAAATGTGAAGTACACTTTTTCATGCATAGGTAAATGATATATATGTAAAATTAAAGTTTGGGATTTAGATATGTAAATACATAAAAATTGTGTGGTATGCTTGTGAATCTTCCTTTATTTTAATTCCATGGATTGACTTGTATTCAAGTCTCTTGTTATAAACTTACAAGCTCCTGCACTTAGCTTTGATTTTCATAACTGATTCTCTCACAATCCTAAAGTTCTTTTTGTTCGTATTAGTAATTCCCAATCCTCACAGTTTTTCAATCTGTATGAAAGGATTTGTGTCTCATTGGTTAGAGGAGTAGGTTATTTCTCCATGATTGTTGGTTAAAACCACATTATGGCTAAATATTAATAGTTTCAAGTTATTGAATTACCTTTTGTAACTGTAAATTCAATTTTATATTGTTTTGTTTGAATTTATTGTTTTTTCATGTCAAATTATTTTATATTAAGTTTTATAAATAGGATGTTGGTTTCTTATAATATGGTTTTAGGATTTTTATTCATTGGCGACAAATTAATATTTTTTTATTACATAATAGGAAAATTTATAATATGGTTTTAGGATTTTTATTCATTGGCGATAAATTAAGTCTTCTTAATTATTTACCAACATAGCTGATAATAATCTCATAGAGCTTGAAAATAAATTTTTTTGATGTATGTTATCAAATTAGGCATAATAGGAGTGATATATTTTTGTTATTTAAAAATGTGCAAGTCAATATATTCTAGCATTAGAAGTCACTTGCGTTGAAAATTCCTAGGAGGCATTCAATTATTTATACAACCTGAAGAATTGCAACAATTAATAAAGTGACTAATCAAATGAAGATGAATGGCACTTTTAAGAAGGTTCTTCTTCTTCTAGGTCATGTGGCTCCAACCAACAAATGTCATACAATCTACTTGGAATTTATGTAGGTTAGAGGTTTGTAATTAAAAAACTGGAGGATATCTAGAGCAAAGATAGTATTGAAAGTGTATTTAATTTGTATATTATATATCAATTATATGAAAAATTTGCTTCTATGTTTTATTTAGTTGTCATTCCATTTCATAAACATTACTAGAGATAAAAATTATGGGTAGTTTATCTTATGTTATTACCTATTTGTTATTAATAGTTGTAGTTTCAACTATTTGATTTATTTTGTTCTTGGGTATTATAACCACACTTCGTTAAGTTAAGCGTTAAATCATATTGTTCCATATAAATATATGGAGATATCAAATGAGAAGAGGATTTTCCAAATTATTAAAGAGTGAGTAATCATTAATTTGGAGTTGGCTAATTTATTTTAACTTTGTGGTACTATTGTTGATCATAACTTTTAAAGGGACTTTTGATAGAGGGACTTGGTGGATGATTTTTGGTGTTTGCTCTCAACAACTACAAAGTTTGGTTTTCAATTATTTATGCAAATATGTTCCTCATCATATGGCAAAAGATGTTGAAGTACATATTCTCTTATGAATTCACTCTTGGAAAACAAGATTTCTTAGTAGGGTGAAGATTTGGTATTTGTGTAGCAATTTTTTCTTTTTATCAAGGATATGACTGCAGTGTTTTCAAAGAGATACCAAGCTACAATGGTGGGGATACATTAACCATAATGGATGATTCAGATTGCTAATACCTCACTTGATGAGCTGGCTTTGGAAGCTATATATATTTTTTTTGTGTTGAAGGTGCTATTGAAGTGAGTGCATTAGTGCTAGGCTTAATTAATGATGCTTCATCAATATGTGTGGAAACTTGAGAAGTTTC